GACGTTATCTATAAGATCTTTATAGTCCTCGTTTTGAAAAGCTGATGAAGAAAGGTCTATTAAAGCATCTACATTTACCGACAACTCTTCCATATCGTATCTTGACAGTGTATCAGGTACTACGTTCATGGACCCTTGGCGATGTTCTATATCGAAACTAAATGATTGTAAATGAAGACTCCATCGAGCCAATCGCCCACTTAAATCTTTATGCGACATCAGCCACTTCAGGCTACTATGGTCGGTAATAATTGTAAATGGCATAAGCTCGATATAAGGGCGAAATTTCTTTACTGCATTAACCACCGCCAAGCACTCTCTCTCCGTGACTGAATAATTCTTTTGTGCCGATGTGAGCTTCTGGGAATAGTAAGCAATGGGATGTTCCCCTCCTTCGCTATCTTTTTGGAATAGCACTGCTCCGATTCCCAGATCAGAAGCATCACACTGCACATAAAAATGTTTAGAAAAATCAGGATGAGTCAGGACAGGGCTAGTGATTAATGCAGTCTTGAGTTTTTCAAAAGCTATCTTTGCCTCTTCAGTAAAATGGAAAACTTTTCCCTTCTTTAAGGTATCGAAAATGGGCGCGGCGATCATTGCGTAATTTGGTATGAACCTACGATACCACCCTGTTGCCCCCGTAAAGCTGCGTACCTGTTTCGCGGTTTTTGGAAAACAAAAACGAGTTATTGTCTCAATTTTTGCTGGGTCTGGTTTGAGTTCACCACCTCCAACGATGTAGCCTAAATATCTTAATTCCTTGAAGCAAAACTTAGATTTAGCTACATTTATGGTTAGTCCTGCTTCAGCTAATAGATCGGCAACGCGCTTCAGCAACTCCAGGTGGGTTTCGAAGTCTGGCGAAACCACCAAAAGATCGTCCAGGTAAACAAAAACGCGGTCCCGCAGTACCGAAGGGATCACTCTATCCATTAGACGGCACAACCTTTGGGCCGCATTGCACAACCCAAAAGGCATGACGGTAAAATGGTAGAGTGGTCTTCCCGGTACTGTGAAAGCCGTTTTTTCTTTGCTGGACTCATCTAATGGGATTTGCCAGAAAGCGTCCTTTAAATCGACACTTGAGATAAAATAGGTATCTCCCAACCTGCTAAGCAATCCCTCAATGTGCGGGAGTGGGTAGGCATCCTTGACCGTCAGAGCATTGAGCTTACGAGCATCCAAGCAGAGCCTATTTTTGTCGCCCTTTCTGACTAGAGTGACAGGATGACTCCACGGACTTTCACTCGGCTCAATGACTCCTAGATCGAGCATTCTATCCAGCTCTGCATACATGAGCTTTTGTACAGCTGGAGATACAGGATAGTGTCTACTTTTAACTGGAGTTGCGTCACCTGTGTCGATCGTGTGGACCTCAGACTTAGTCCGGCCTAAGCCTTGTGTTGAATAAGAAGGAAATCTTGCTATTATCCCATCCAAACGTTTCCGTTGTGGATCAGACAATTTATGAACAGTTCTGTCATCACTGGTTCCACTATCAGCCTCATCACAAAGACTGACGCCGTTGGTGGTGAGACTCTCAATAGACGCAAACATTTTAAAGGTTTTCATGAAGTCAATTCCAAGGAAGAGTTGTCGGTTAAGTGTAGGAACCAAAAAGAAATCTATTGGGTGAGTCATATTATTGAAGGTAATATCTGCACGGATTTTCCCGGTTATCTTGTGTGGACTTCCATCTGCAGTCTTAACAAAAGAAAAGAAATCTTGAGGAGTTAAACCAATTTTTCCTACCAGATCTAGACAACCCTTACCTAAACAAGACACCGTTGCTCCACTGTCAAGAAGACCCTCAATTTCTTCGCCATTAATGTGAATTTTGGTGTAAAATCTCGAATCTTCACCTTCATATAGGGTAGTAGATGCAATTTCCTTTCTCAATTTCCTTCTCTCGTTGTATCTTTCTCTAGCCCGTTTTACTTTATTGGACACTACACCGAAAATTCTCGACCTAGCTTCTTCGTATTCCTTTTTCCTTACATGCAATGGTTTCAACACTCGTAATATCGGCTTCTCTTCATTCACCCTCTTGTTTTCGTTGACTAATAAGATTACCTTCTTCGCGTTACACTTTCCCTCTACTGTTCCTGCTGGGACTCCGTCTGGGTGGAGCGCGCCTCCCCAGTTCGAGGAACGCTCCGATTCAAGTTTCCCTGGCACCTTGGACATTTTGGGGAAACTACTCCCTCTCTTCCGCACTTGAAGCAGAACACCTTTGATATGGGTACAGGACAATCAATGTAACTATGACCAACCTTTCTGCAATTCCAACACGTGTAGCGGTTGGACACTGCTAAAGCGTCTACGTCCAATTCAGATTCGGCCTCTGTGTATTCTAGTTCGTGTACTTTCTGTGGTTGAAACGTTCTTTGCTGGTATGCTTGTCTTTGTCCAGCTACCATCAATTCAGCCCGTTTGACCTCCTGCCGAAAATGGTTCAACCCTTTAATTTGAATAGGGAAAATAAGAGAAGCAAGTGATGATTTTAAGTTTCCTTTCATGATCTCTACCAAGTCGTTTTCATCATATGGAGATCGTTGTTGGTTTCTCATTTTGAGCACGGCATCGAAAAACTCATCAAATGTTTCATTCGGCATCTGACGACGACCCATAATTTCTTTTTGAATTTGAAATTCATTCTGGTACCGACGAAATTGGGCTAAAAATGCTTCCCTCAACTCATTCCAGTGCCTAAACGGGGCAATTCGTCGTTGCTGCCAGTACCAACTTTCGGCACTACCCTCAAGTAACTGTGGGAACTCCCTGAGAAGTTCGTCAAATGGATAACCATAGTCTTGCCTCGTAGACTCCAAACAGAAGATAAAATGTTCAGCATCTGCGTTTTTCTCACTGCCATTGAAGCGCATTCCCCAATCTTTAACTTTGTATTTTCGATTGCTACTTTGATGAGCTACATTTCCGTGATAGGATGATGCATTCGACGGCTTCTGAGGTCTCATTTCTGTTGGATTCCCCGTATAATCTTGACCTCTGGTATCCACCGCAATGATAGGATTGTTATTCTCGGCTCCTGATGCCTCATTTCGAACTGCCTGCGATGGAGGAGGTTCCCTAATTCCGTGCATTGATTGAGTGTTTTCTACAACTGTCGGATAACGTGTTAGTGGCGGTGGCGCGCTCGTCATTGGAGCTATAGCTGGAGTCTGTATCCCAGCTGCGTGTTCAGCCGACAAACCTTCCTCGGTGGAATTTCTCACGGTTGGCCGTGCTTGCTGTAGATCACGCTGAACCTGCCGAATCACTTCAATACTGCGCATCAGTTGAGCTTGTGCTAACCCAATGGATGCCATCATTTCCTGCAGATTATTAGCCTGGTTGAATTCCGATCTATCGTCTCCATTCCCCTGTCGAAATTCTCGTCTTACGTTCTGAGCGGTCAAACTTGAAAATGCTGGAGAAAGTATAGTATTATTCAGTTCATCCGGACTGATCGATGCATCGCTGCCAATCGATGGAGCGCTTGACGATCTGACAATGCCTCCCGTTCCAGTGTTGGTTTGCAAAGTTGGTGGGTTGTTCGTAGGAACTTGAGTTTGCGTGTTCTGTGCCCCTACCCTTGGCTCGGAATTAACTGCTTCTTCGTTGTTTTCCATATTATTTGGCTGTAGCTTACTACCACTTCTAGTCAAAACCATTCCAAAATTAATAGTAAACTAATAACTGTGTTCCTAAGAAATATTAAAAATAAAAACTAAAAATCAAGAAAACATATATACTAGTAGTAATGCTTCTACTTCTGTCGAGGTAGGAAAATAATGATGTATTAAATAATATCAAAAAGTCTTTCAATATATCATAAGGTAGGATTCTAGGTGACGGCCATTAGAAGAGTAGATGTTACTTTCAGATTTAAAAGAAATAAGGTAAACAAAATAATTACCTCCTGCAATCCTGTGCTTTAACTTTTTATACTGTGGATATGGAAAATCTGGTTTAACAACCTAGTGACATCGAAAGAAATCTCGTTGACTATACTATGAGTGTTTCTGTCTAAGAATTGACTCCGGACAACGAAATTCCTTTCGAATACAAAATGATTGTTAAAAATGGCTATTGCAATGAAAAACTAATTGGATGTGACCCAAAAACTCCACACAATCGTGGCAATTAAATGCGTTGTGTTACTAACACTGGCGATAAGACCTACGATTATATGTAGCCTAAAGGTTTGGTGATTCAAAATTAAATCTCCACCTCACGACCCCGATTTAGAAAACTTTAGGTCGGGACTGAGATTTTAACATTGGACCGTGATATTGAAAATGAAGAAATATCGTTCAAAAGGTATACTATTTAAACCAAGTGGCAGCCGGGAGGACTCTTTGAGTTACTCAAACGGGACCTACTTGCTTTAAATAATATATGGCTACAATTATTTTTTTGCTTTCATCTCGGGCCCCACGTTGTGGGCGCCATTTTGTCACGTACTACCGTCAGTTGATTTCACATAATTCCTGTTTTCTATCAAACATCGTCATTGCTGGCATGTTGGCTTTTTGCACGGCTAGTGCTCGCCGGATGGGGGTGGTTCTTGACGACATTGACTAGGTTGGCAATACGTTAAACAAAAAAAATATCATGCCAGACTGATCAAAATTAAAAAAAAAAAAAAAAAAAAGGGTATTCCGAGCCCGAGAGAAATAGTAAACTATTAATGACTTTTACCACAGCATAAATAAGAAAAAGCAACCAGTTATATGGGAAAAAAAAATCATGAAAGTACTCGGCAGGTGTTAAACCGAGCTCTTCCCTCCCACTGGAACACTTGTTCCACCTTGGCAATCAAAACATGTTCATATTGCCCCCATACCTACCTCTTCTTTAGCACGTCACCCTCCTAACCTTCAATTAAATTTCCTTATGGAGAAGACATTTTAATTCATATCCATCGTTATAATTTTATTTTTAATTCAAGGTTCTTAATTTTTAATACAAAAAAATTGTGGATAATTTTAACTTTGAAATTCACATTGTTAAAAAAGGTTATTACTAGTGCAAAGAGTTTTTACTAGTGTAAAATATTCGAAAATCGTAAGTATTATAATTTTGAACGTTGTACATAATAACGAAACTTAGGTAAGTACCACTTTTGGGTATTTATTTAATAAATTTAATATAAGATGGCTGCTCTTCTTTCTTTTCCAGGGATGCTGAACAGAGGTCCTATTATGGCGGTGATTGCTGGCAATGGAGCTTATTATCCGTCAGTTAATCTCGTAAGTATGAGTGTTGTATTTTAGTTTTATAGTTCAAACCCTGAATAAAAAGTTTTCTTCTATTTTAAGTGGAGTAAAAGCAAAGGGACAACATTAAGCTTTTGTGTATGGGAGCAACTAACTCCTGGTGGTTAATAACCTGTCCTACCTGCCTAGAGAGAGCTCTATCTATTCGGAGAGGATATGAGAATAAAAATTCGAATAATAAAGAAAACAAAAGGAAATGTCTACCCTTAAGGCTACGTATTTTCTATACCCTTTTATTCTAGGTTTATGGGCAGTCCGTCCGTCGCAAGTAATTATCAATAAGTTTGGAGGTAAGTAATGAGTTAAAGTCAATAGCTCGTTTTACACCATATCAGTTTTATATTCTTTTATTTTAGGTACCTCAGCACCGCGGAATGCCTGGTGCTCAACAGCGTATCCAACGATGGGCAGAGGAGTCGGGATCGGTGGTCCAAATATCGTTATCGATGCTGGCAAAGGTGTTTGGTGCTGGATTACTTCCTTTTGTTCAAAAGTTATTGAGGTTTTTTTTCTCTTTTCGTGCAATAAAGGCAATAAATATTTTTAAAATTTTGTTTTGTGATATGCGGGTATTATTACACCGGTTGTATTTAACGTGGGTAAAAACTTTACTATTTTCTTTTTGCTCGATCCACTTCCTGCTGCCAAGAACTCCAGAAATAAAAAGAAAGAACTTTGAATATTTTACATGGCTTATTGGCTCCCTATTTCCAATATGTTTTCCACATTTAAAATTTCCCTTTTTGAAATGACAGGATAAACAAACCATATGTCACTTGGTGTGACAGACAAAATTATACGAGTTTCGGTATGTGGCGTATAGATGGCGTGAGTACGCACATGACAAACCCAACCATCCTTTGTACATCACTGTAAAAGGATGGGAGGGAAAAAGTGCGAAAAATAAGTTCGATGATTTGTAGAAAGCTTCATTTGAATGGAGCGCTTTTATTTTCGATAGGACGTCGATCTTGTCAGCTCTTCTTTGTCAATGAAATATGCCTGCGTCATTATTTCTACTGAACTGGCTACGTTATCATAGACAGACCATACATATGTAGTGAATTTCTTGAAGTGCGGGCGATACAATTGAATACCGGGGTTTCAAAAAAAATATATACAATTAAGAATAAAAGAAAAACCAAGAATTTGCTGTTTAAAAAAACTTTTTGTGATTACCAATAGTGTCTTACTAATATTAATGTGCTACAAAAAAATAAATCCTAAAATAAACAAAATCTGAAATTTCCTAATAAGATAAAATTGTAACGGGTAAAAGAAGAAACGACGAATGAAAAAGTGTTATAAACGTAATATCGAGTTGGCGTCATATAACTGTGCTGTGCTTTCATACGACTGTACCACAACGAGTTGCGTACTATGTGATAGGTTTGTTGCTGGGTTGAAATAACCGTTTCATTCTAGAAATCGTCGATCATCTTCAGTGCAAACAAAGCGATGTGTAATTGAAAAAAAAACAGAAAATAATCTAAAACTAAAAGAATAGAGAATAAAGTTAAGAAAATCGTTTAATTACTAAAATAAATGTGTGCTGCCTAAGAATATAAATTTTAAGGAAAAATATAGAAATTCAATTTTATATTAATAATAAAGATATAAATTATGTGTGTTGAAAAGTGTATAAATGGAATTAATATAATTTTCATCAATACTAAATCTGTGTATGCAATAAAAGTCCAATAATTTATATTTTCATATGCGTATTAATTGGCTATGCAAGTGAAAAACAAAAAGAAGTGAGCATTGTTAAAAAAAAAACCTATCAGAAAAGTTTTTTTCATTAATTAAAAGCCTACGTTATTCCTGTTGTTGTAATAGTGGGAATATTTGTGCATACGACCATACTTTTCTTGTGATATGATTTCTTAAAAGCAAAAGTGTAAGAGTAGTAAAATCAAAGAGTGTGAAATACAGCTATGAGAGAGAATAAAGAGTACATGTGTAGAGTCACAAAAAGGTTAACGGAAAAAAAAACATAACGAAAGTGAGGAAAGAAATGAATCAAAACAAATGCGAAGCAAAATCAAAACAAAGGCTAATTTGAATCAAAACATAAAAGAAATATAAAAGCAAAACAAAATAATGTTAATGATTGTGGATTTAACGGCGAATCAACGTTGCGATTATACTTTAAAGTGGAAAAGCAAATAAATTCTGATTTTGTGCCCAACTATGAGGAGTAAAAACCACCATGCAGAAATCTCTACTTTGCCGCTGTAATCTTATGATATATCTATTTTTGGATTTGTGCCGGTAAGTGAACAATCGTTTTATTTCTTTATAATAACAAAAATATAGTTTAGGAGAAAATGAATCTATGAGCTCGTAAGGAAAATATTTTTCCGTGAATAATTATTAAACATTAAATTTTTGCTGGTGTTATTCAGATCGTGAGAGGACTTCTTCTGTTATTATGGGATGCGGTAGAAAAACCATTTCTTATTGTTTCAAATCTTTCACGTGGAATACTCCTAAGGATTTCCCTCTCAAATCCTCTATTTCATAAAGACAATTTCCAATTGGTCGAACAATTCTGCACTTTACAAATTTAGGTCCTAGTTTAGCATTAAAGTTCCTTTTGAAGTCACTTTGCTTTTTGGCGAATGAGTTGCTGTGCGCACGTGAGAGATACCAAAGTTTGTCATAAGGTCCTCAAATTCCTTTGCTACAAATTGTTGTCCATTATCTGAAATTAGTACTTCGGGTGTACCGAACTTATGAAATACCTCTGATATGAGGAATTTAACCACATTTTTAGTACTGGCTTTATTCATAGCCTTAAGAAGAACGTACTTGCTAAGATGGTCAAGGACAATGAAAATATAAGTGTTGCCGGCCTTTGAACGCGGATAGGGACCTAAAAAATCTACAAAAATTCTTTGAAAAGGTCTCTCCACATTGGCTTCTTTGCCCATGGGAGGACGTAGCGTTATGTTGGCTGATTTAGACTCTTTACATACTTGACATTTAAGGACGAAATCTCTAACTTGCTTATTCATAAGGGGCCAATAAAAATACTCCTTGATTCTTTTTAGGGTTTTATGAAAACCACCATGTGAGGCCACAGGGAGACAATGGGCTTTTTCGATAATTCCATTGGTTAACTCCAATGGAATCCACAATTTCCAAGCAAAATCTTCATTGGTAGGTGAGCCGTCGTAAAATTGTGTCCTTTTGTAGACGAATCCATCTATCACTTTTATATCTGGCAACCGATCCGCGTTCTTACTGACGTTATCTATAAGATCTTTATAGTCCTCGTTTTGAAAAGCTGATGAAGAAAGGTCTATTAAAGCATCTACATTTACCGACAACTCTTCCATATCGTATCTTGACAGTGTATCAGGTACTACGTTCATGGACCCTTGGCGATGTTCTATATCGAAACTAAATGATTGTAAATGAAGACTCCATCGAGCCAATCGCCCACTTAAATCTTTATGCGACATCAGCCACTTCAGGCTACTATGGTCGGTAATAATTGTAAATGGCATAAGCTCGATATAAGGGCGAAATTTCTTTACTGCATTAACCACCGCCAAGCACTCTCTCTCCGTGACTGAATAATTCTTTTGTGCCGATGTGAGCTTCTGGGAATAGTAAGCAATGGGATGTTCCCCTCCTTCGCTATCTTTTTGGAATAGCACTGCTCCGATTCCCAGATCAGAAGCATCACACTGCACATAAAAATGTTTAGAAAAATCAGGATGAGTCAGGACAGGGCTAGTGATTAATGCAGTCTTGAGTTTTTCAAAAGCTATCTTTGCCTCTTCAGTAAAATGGAAAACTTTTCCCTTCTTTAAGGTATCGAAAATGGGCGCGGCGATCATTGCGTAATTTGGTATGAACCTACGATACCACCCTGTTGCCCCCGTAAAGCTGCGTACCTGTTTCGCGGTTTTTGGAAAACAAAAACGAGTTATTGTCTCAATTTTTGCTGGGTCTGGTTTGAGTTCACCACCTCCAACGATGTAGCCTAAATATCTTAATTCCTTGAAGCAAAACTTAGATTTAGCTACATTTATGGTTAGTCCTGCTTCAGCTAATAGATCGGCAACGCGCTTCAGCAACTCCAGGTGGGTTTCGAAGTCTGGCGAAACCACCAAAAGATCGTCCAGGTAAACAAAAACGCGGTCCCGCAGTACCGAAGGGATCACTCTATCCATTAGACGGCACAACCTTTGGGCCGCATTGCACAACCCAAAAGGCATGACGGTAAAATGGTAGAGTGGTCTTCCCGGTACTGTGAAAGCCGTTTTTTCTTTGCTGGACTCATCTAATGGGATTTGCCAGAAAGCGTCCTTTAAATCGACACTTGAGATAAAATAGGTATCTCCCAACCTGCTAAGCAATCCCTCAATGTGCGGGAGTGGGTAGGCATCCTTGACCGTCAGAGCATTGAGCTTACGAGCATCCAAGCAGAGCCTATTTTTGTCGCCCTTTCTGACTAGAGTGACAGGATGACTCCACGGACTTTCACTCGGCTCAATGACTCCTAGATCGAGCATTCTATCCAGCTCTGCATACATGAGCTTTTGTACAGCTGGAGATACAGGATAGTGTCTACTTTTAACTGGAGTTGCGTCACCTGTGTCGATCGTGTGGACCTCAGACTTAGTCCGGCCTAAGCCTTGTGTTGAATAAGAAGGAAATCTTGCTATTATCCCATCCAAACGTTTCCGTTGTGGATCAGACAATTTATGAACAGTTCTGTCATCACTGGTTCCACTATCAGCCTCATCACAAAGACTGACGCCGTTGGTGGTGAGACTCTCAATAGACGCAAACATTTTAAAGGTTTTCATGAAGTCAATTCCAAGGAAGAGTTGTCGGTTAAGTGTAGGAACCAAAAAGAAATCTATTGGGTGAGTCATATTATTGAAGGTAATATCTGCACGGATTTTCCCGGTTATCTTGTGTGGACTTCCATCTGCAGTCTTAACAAAAGAAAAGAAATCTTGAGGAGTTAAACCAATTTTTCCTACCAGATCTAGACAACCCTTACCTAAACAAGACACCGTTGCTCCACTGTCAAGAAGACCCTCAATTTCTTCGCCATTAATGTGAATTTTGGTGTAAAATCTCGAATCTTCACCTTCATATAGGGTAGTAGATGCAATTTCCTTTCTCAATTTCCTTCTCTCGTTGTATCTTTCTCTAGCCCGTTTTACTTTATTGGACACTACACCGAAAATTCTCGACCTAGCTTCTTCGTATTCCTTTTTCCTTACATGCAATGGTTTCAACACTCGTAATATCGGCTTCTCTTCATTCACCCTCTTGTTTTCGTTGACTAATAAGATTACCTTCTTCGCGTTACACTTTCCCTCTACTGTTCCTGCTGGGACTCCGTCTGGGTGGAGCGCGCCTCCCCAGTTCGAGGAACGCTCCGATTCAAGTTTCCCTGGCACCTTGGACATTTTGGGGAAACTACTCCCTCTCTTCCGCACTTGAAGCAGAACACCTTTGATATGGGTACAGGACAATCAATGTAACTATGACCAACCTTTCTGCAATTCCAACACGTGTAGCGGTTGGACACTGCTAAAGCGTCTACGTCCAATTCAGATTCGGCCTCTGTGTATTCTAGTTCGTGTACTTTCTGTGGTTGAAACGTTCTTTGCTGGTATGCTTGTCTTTGTCCAGCTACCATCAATTCAGCCCGTTTGACCTCCTGCCGAAAATGGTTCAACCCTTTAATTTGAATAGGGAAAATAAGAGAAGCAAGTGATGATTTTAAGTTTCCTTTCATGATCTCTACCAAGTCGTTTTCATCATATGGAGATCGTTGTTGGTTTCTCATTTTGAGCACGGCATCGAAAAACTCATCAAATGTTTCATTCGGCATCTGACGACGACCCATAATTTCTTTTTGAATTTGAAATTCATTCTGGTACCGACGAAATTGGGCTAAAAATGCTTCCCTCAACTCATTCCAGTGCCTAAACGGGGCAATTCGTCGTTGCTGCCAGTACCAACTTTCGGCACTACCCTCAAGTAACTGTGGGAACTCCCTGAGAAGTTCGTCAAATGGATAACCATAGTCTTGCCTCGTAGACTCCAAACAGAAGATAAAATGTTCAGCATCTGCGTTTTTCTCACTGCCATTGAAGCGCATTCCCCAATCTTTAACTTTGTATTTTCGATTGCTACTTTGATGAGCTACATTTCCGTGATAGGATGATGCATTCGACGGCTTCTGAGGTCTCATTTCTGTTGGATTCCCCGTATAATCTTGACCTCTGGTATCCACCGCAATGATAGGATTGTTATTCTCGGCTCCTGATGCCTCATTTCGAACTGCCTGCGATGGAGGAGGTTCCCTAATTCCGTGCATTGATTGAGTGTTTTCTACAACTGTCGGATAACGTGTTAGTGGCGGTGGCGCGCTCGTCATTGGAGCTATAGCTGGAGTCTGTATCCCAGCTGCGTGTTCAGCCGACAAACCTTCCTCGGTGGAATTTCTCACGGTTGGCCGTGCTTGCTGTAGATCACGCTGAACCTGCCGAATCACTTCAATACTGCGCATCAGTTGAGCTTGTGCTAACCCAATGGATGCCATCATTTCCTGCAGATTATTAGCCTGGTTGAATTCCGATCTATCGTCTCCATTCCCCTGTCGAAATTCTCGTCTTACGTTCTGAGCGGTCAAACTTGAAAATGCTGGAGAAAGTATAGTATTATTCAGTTCATCCGGACTGATCGATGCATCGCTGCCAATCGATGGAGCGCTTGACGATCTGACAATGCCTCCCGTTCCAGTGTTGGTTTGCAAAGTTGGTGGGTTGTTCGTAGGAACTTGAGTTTGCGTGTTCTGTGCCCCTACCCTTGGCTCGGAATTAACTGCTTCTTCGTTGTTTTCCATATTATTTGGCTGTAGCTTACTACCACTTCTAGTCAAACCATTCCAAAATTAATAGTAAACTAATAACTGTGTTCCTAAGAAATATTAAAAATAAAAACTAAAAATCAAGAAAACATATATACTAGTAGTAATGCTTCTACTTCTGTCGAGGTAGGAAAATAATGATGTATTAAATAATATCAAAAAGTCTTTCAATATATCATAAGGTAGGATTCTAGGTGACGGCCATTAGAAGAGTAGATGTTACTTTCAGATTTAAAAGAAATAAGGTAAACAAAATAATTACCTCCTGCAATCCTGTGCTTTAACTTTTTATACTGTGGATATGGAAAATCTGGTTTAACAACCTAGTGACATCGAAAGAAATCTCGTTGACTATACTATGAGTGTTTCTGTCTAAGAATTGACTCCGGACAACGAAATTCCTTTCGAATACAAAATGATTGTTAAAAATGGCTATTGCAATGAAAAACTAATTGGATGTGACCCAAAAACTCCACACAATCGTGGCAATTAAATGCGTTGTGTTACTAACACTGGCGATAAGACCTACGATTATATGTAGCCTAAAGGTTTGGTGATTCAAAATTAAATCTCCACCTCACGACCCCGATTTAGAAAACTTTAGGTCGGGACTGAGATTTTAACATTGGACCGTGATATTGAAAATGAAGAAATATCGTTCAAAAGGTATACTATTTAAACCAAGTGGCAGCCGGGAGGACTCTTTGAGTTACTCAAACGGGACCTACTTGCTTTAAATAATATATGGCTACAATTATTTTTTTGCTTTCATCTCGGGCCCCACGTTGTGGGCGCCATTTTGTCACGTACTACCGTCAGTTGATTTCACATAATTCCTGTTTTCTATCAAACATCGTCATTGCTGGCATGTTGGCTTTTGCACGGCTAGTGCTCGCCGGATGGGGGTGGTTCTTGACGACATTGACTAGGTTGGCAATACGTTAAACAAAAAAAATATCATGCCAGACTGATCAAAATTAAAAAAAAAAAAAAAAAAAAGGGTATTCCGAGCCCGAGAGAAATAGTAAACTATTAATGACTTTTACCACAGCATAAATAAGAAAAAGCAACCAGTTATATGGGAAAAAAAATCATGAAAGTACTCGGCAGGTGTTAAACCGAGCTCTTCCCTCCCACTGGAACACTTGTTCCACCTTGGCAATCAAAACATGTTCATATTGCCCCCATACCTACCTCTTCTTTAGCACGTCACCCTCCTAACCTTCAATTAAATTTCCTTATGGAGAAGACATTTTAATTCATATCCATCGTTATAATTTTATTTTTAATTCAAGGTTCTTAATTTTTAATACAAAAAAATTGTGGATAATTTTAACTTTGAAATTCACATTGTTAAAAAAGGTTATTACTAGTGCAAAGAGTTTTTACTAGTGTAAAATATTCGAAAATCGTAAGTATTATAATTTTGAACGTTGTACATAATAACGAAACTTAGGTAAGTACCACTTTTGGGTATTTATTTAATAAATTTAATATAAGATGGCTGCTCTTCTTTCTTTTCCAGGGATGCTGAACAGAGGTCCTATTATGGCGGTGATTGCTGGCAATGGAGCTTATTATCCGTCAGTTAATCTCGTAAGTATGAGTGTTGTATTTTAGTTTTATAGTTCAAACCCTGAATAAAAAGTTTTCTTCTATTTTAAGTGGAGTAAAAGCAAAGGGACAACATTAAGCTTTTGTGTATGGGAGCAACTAACTCCTGGTGGTTAATAACCTGTCCTACCTGCCTAGAGAGAGCTCTATCTATTCGGAGAGGATATGAGAATAAAAATTCGAATAATAAAGAAAACAAAAGGAAATGTCTACCCTTAAGGCTACGTATTTTCTATACCCTTTTATTCTAGGTTTATGGGCAGTCCGTCCGTCGCAAGTAATTATCAATAAGTTTGGAGGTAAGTAATGAGTTAAAGTCAATAGCTCGTTTTACACCATATCAGTTTTATATTCTTTTATTTTTAGGTACCTCAGCACCGCGGAATGCCTGGTGCTCAACAGCGTATCCAACGATGGGCAGAGGAGTCGGGATCGGTGGTCCAAATATCGTTATCGATGCTGGCAAAGGTGTTTGGTGCTGGATTACTTCCTTTTGTTCAAAAGTTATTGAGGTTTTTTTTCTCTTTTCGTGCAATAAAGGCAATAAATATTTTAAAATTTTGTTTTGTGATATGCGGGTATTATTACACCGGTTGTATTTAACGTGGGTAAAAACTTTACTATTTTCTTTTTGCTCGATCCACTTCCTGCTGCCAAGAACTCCAGAAATAAAAAGAAAGAACTTTGAATATTTTACATGGCTTATTGGCTCCCTATTTCCAATATGTTTTCCACATTTAAAATTTCCCTTTTTGAAATGACAGGATAAACAAACCATATGTCACTTGGTGTGACAGACAAAATTATACGAGTTTCGGTATGTGGCGTATAGATGGCGTGAGTACGCACATGACACATAATTATATGCAACAAGTTGTTTTCATTTTTTTTTCATATTATTCCTCATTTTTAAAATGAGTTAAATAGCGCGAATGATAAATGAAGTGCCTGGATGTTCTCTCAAAAATATGATCTAAAGTGTTCAATCTTTCAATTTCATGGTAAATATGGTTAATATTAGTTGTGTTCCAGAACCTACAAGTTAGTACTAATTAGTGCTAATTCTACTACAACGCGTTCTCGTACTCCAAAAACTAGCAAAACTTGCAGCTCTCTCGAAAAAAAACCAGTAAGGAAAGCTCAAAAGTCGGGCGGGGCCGACTATATGATACCCTACACCACTATGCATATTTAGTAGAGCTCTCGTAAAAAGGGTTATACAGGGCATTTCAGAGCTCTATTAGATATTTGGTACAAAATCAATATCTATCTAATTCTATCGTGCATTTTACGAACTATAGCTATCTCTGAACCGGGTTTCTCCAAATTTTACGTAATAGCTTCTAGACTGAATTCGGTCTTATGTACGAAAATTCAGGTGATTTGGGCTGATATTGACCATTTAGTGCACATTTAACCCGAAATCGGATGAAGATATATCCAAATCTAAACCGATTTCGATAAAATTTAAAACAGCTATTCCTGTGCTCCATCTAATACCTGGTACCAAATATCACGGTAGTGGAGTGAATATCACGAATGTATGGGACTAAAACACTAAATCGGATGAAACATATATATGGTTGCTATATCTATATCTGAACCGATTTTCACTAAATTTGATATACTTGCTTCTAAGCTGAATTTGGTCCGATGTACTAAAATTCAGTCCATTTGGACTTATATCGGCCATTTGGTGCACAATTAACCCGAAATCGGATGAAGATATATATGGGAGCTATATCCAAATCTGAACCGATTTCGATAAAATTACAAACAGCTATTTCTGGGCTGTATCTTATATCTGGTACCAAATATCATTCTTGTGGAGTGCATATTACGAATGTGAGAGGCTTAAACATCAAATCGGATAAAACATATATATGGGAGCTATAGCTGTTTCTGAACCGATTTTCTCCAAATTTGTTGTATTTGCTTTAAGGCTAATCTCGGTCACATGTGCCAAAATTCGGGCCATTTGGGCTGATATTGGCCATTTGGTAGTCAATAAACCCGAAATCGGATGAAGATATATATGGGAGCTATATCCAAATCTGAACCGATTTCGATAAAATTTAAAACAGCTATTTCTGTGCTCCATCTAATACCTGGTACCAAATATCACGGTTGTGGAGTGCATAGTAGGAATGTGAGGGACTTAAAGATCAAATCGGATGAAAGATATATATGGGAGCTATAGCTATATCTGAACCGATTTTCTCCAAATTTGATATATTTGCTTCTAGGCCGAACTCGGTTGAGTGTGCCAAAATTCAGGTGATTTGGACTGATAGTGGACATTTGGTGCACATTTAACCCGAAATCGGATGAAGTTATATATGGGAGCTATATCTAAATTTGATCCGATTCTCACCAATTTCAATAGGGTTCGTCCTTGGGCCAAAAATATATTGTTTGGAAAATTTCATCTCAATCGGATAATAAATGCGACCTGCATTTTGTTCACAAGAATACATGGACAGACGGACGGACGGACGGACGGACGGACGGACGGACGGACGGACAGACGGACTGACATGCATAAATCGACTCAGAAAGTGATTCTATGAAGGTTCTCAAAAGTAACTATGGGTCTATCTCGTTTCCTTCTCCATGTTACAAACAAATGCACAAAGACATAATACCCTTACCACTATGTGGTGTAGGGTATAAAAATGGCGCTGAGTGGTGCACATTTCTGCTTGTTTTAGCTACATGAATTTCGCCGAGCAGAAATGTGCAAATTGTAAATTTGACATTTAATTGGCAGGGCTAACAAGGTTGAAAAATGTACTAATAAATTCCAATGTTCGCGCCAAGGTAGATGTACTAGGTAATCGCATCAGCCCAGCTGACGGCACCATTAAATGTCAAAACAAATTGTTGTAATGAAGAATTCGCCCTAAATGAATGCAACAACAAATTTGTTTATGTTGTCTTCCCTAAAAGTACCTTTTTATAATATTTCAAATAATTTAAGAGTAAGTTAAGAGTGAAACCAGTAAAAAATTAAAAGAACATGAAGGAAGGAGGTTAGAATGGAGTGCAGCTTTAAGAATTAAGTTAGCCTCAACATCTAAGATTCCCAAAGCACATCACGGGAAGTAGTGCAAGAATTAGACTCTTGTCATTTGCAGTTCCGGAAAACTTTCGGTTTAAACCAGTAAAATATAGTCATTATAAGTTTCTTTGTTTAAAAAATATCGCAATACTACAATTAATACTTATTTTACTCTTATTTGTTTTACAATAAAAACTTTTATTGCGACGTTCGTTTACGACGAGAGGGACACAAAATAAAATGTAAACAAACACCTCGTTTCTGATTGGTTGAAACAAATTTGCCGCAACTTTTAAATGTCATGGCGAATCTATGTTTTTCGCCTTAGATGCCAATTTTGACATTTGAGGGGACCACAAAAGTTGCTTTGTTGTAGCAATTCGCCGATGCGGTTACCTGTTAGATCTACCTTGGTTCGCGCGTAACAACAAATGGATTTGAGAAAACTCCACCTCTAAATACTCTTCAATTTCAACATTCTAAAACCAAAAAAAAAAAAAACAAAAAATACTCTTCAACGCATTCTGAAAACAAAACTTTCTAAATAAACATCATTCAAAAATAATTATTAATTTTAACTTATTTTCAATACTCATTTATTAAATTTTGGCGTCCATTTCAATAAGGTTTCACCAGTCCGATTTAGACTGTTTTCTTTTGGAATTTTTAATGTTGACATTTTAGCGCATTTCTGCTAATTTTCCGTTCCCTTATTTTTTGAGCACACCTAAATGAGAATGGCATTTCGTACTGTTCTCTCTTCTGCTAGTTTTACTACTAAAAAAGAACTGGAACACAACTATTATTAATGCGCGCCCAGCAAATTAAGTTTCTTTCACTCATTGATTTTGAAAAAGTTTTGTTTTTATTTTTTAAAACAACAAATACATACACGCATTTGGCAGACGTCGGGCACATTTAGAAAGATAAAATTGTAATCAGTTGGTAGTTTAACCATACCTTTTAATTGTACCATGGTTGCTGTCTCTCAAATCAGGAATTTTTGAGTGTCTTTTTTAAATAATTACAAATGCTCTGTTCCAGAACCTGCAAGAATCTACTAGCTTTGCAATTTTTTGTCGACAGCATAAAGGGAAAATCGTTTATTGTAGTAAAGACTTTTACATTCTTGCAGTTCTGGAACAGACCCAAAATAACTCTAAGTTCAGTAGAACTTTTTGTACATGGGAATAATTTTCAAAGAAATTCTAAAAAACTTTCGTTCTTTTTTAATGTTTTATTTTGTACTTTTGAAACTTTTACAATAGTTAAATTTATTATAAATTCTAATTTTATAAAGAGATCACTTTAAGAAAACTCTACATATGTATAATAAATAATTTCTTTCTTAATATTATACAAATATATTATACATTAAATATTTAAATAAATTGATTTTGTACAATAGAGACTGAGAAATCTATATCCTATATGATTTTCTAAAATTACCGATTGAAAAATACCATGGTGGAAGAATACAGGCAGTCACATCGACACAGCTGCTGGGACAATGAACTGTCAAACCAATTTTGAAATTGAAAATTGTAAATGAAAAATTATTGAAATTTGTAAAAATTGTTGAAAAATATATACCATACGAAGTTACGATTTGTGTATTATGTGATTATTAAAAAAAATCATTTAAAAAATGTTTGACATATCAATGTTCCGTTGATGCATCTACCTGTATTCTTCTACCAAGGGAAATACTGAGAGAAACATCATGTTTAGATCAGAATATTTACATAAACGTACTGTTATACTTATGCCATGTTTACGTTAGAAGTTTTTGTACGGTTAACCTATTTTGAGGGGATTTATTTGAAGTAAAAGTAATGGATATGACAATTTAAATCCAAATCCAGTGGGTTAACCCTCATATATATAAACGTACTATTAGACTCTATTTACATTTGACTGCTTAGTTATAATTTAGCTTATGATCGCATTGGAGACCTTTACCGCTATCATGATCCATTCAAATATATTTTCACATCTTCAACGTGTTAGAACACTTTGATAATAAAGGACAACTATAACGAAAAGGACTCGACTGTAAACATAACTTTATACTACGTTTAGACTTAAGAAATGTTTATTCCATTGCATATACGTCAAATGAAATCGACTCTTAAAGTCAGTTTAATTTAATAATAAAATACTTTATATCTTAAA